CCACCATAGGAAGTCCACACTGTGGCCTGGCACCCACCATAGGAAGTCCACACTGTGGCCTGGCGCCCACCATAGGAAGTCCACACTGTGGCCTGTAGGTGAATCTTAAAAGGTCTTATTAGTAAAAAGCAAACCTGGGAGCCAGGTATTGGGGTGAATGCTGAAAGATCAGAGAGACAGAACCAGCCTCAGCTAACCTCACCTTGCCAACTTCTCAGCTGATCTTGTTTCCTCAGGCTGGAAGCCTCTGGGTCCTCATCCAGAATGAATCTCAGCTGAACTGCTGCTCAAAAGCCTAAAAGCTTAACCAGCTCTAGTTCCTGGTCCTCATGCCTTATATACCTTTCTGCTTTCTGCCATTACTTCCTGGGATTAAAGGCATGAGTCATCGTGCCTGGCTGTTTCCAGTGTGGCTTTGAACTCACAGAGATCCAGAAGGATTTCTGCCTCTGGAATGCTAGGATTAAAGGCGTGTGCTACCACTGCCTAACCTCTATGTTTAATATTATGGCTGTTCTGTTCTCTGACCCCCAGATAAGTTTATTGGGGTACACAATTTATCAACCACAGTGGCCTGGTGCCCACCCTCAGGAAGTCCACACTGTGGCCTGGTACCCACCCCCAGGAAGTCCACACTGTGGCCTTGTACCCCCTCAGGAAGTCCACACTGTGACCTGGTACCCACCCTCAGGAAGTCCACACTGTGGCCTGGTACCCACCATCAGGAAGTCCACACTGTGGCCTGGTGCCCACCCTCAGGAAGTCCACACTGTGACCTGGTACCCCCTCAGGAAATCCACACTGTGGCCTGGTATCCACCCCCAGGAAGTCCACACTGTGGCCTGGTGCCCACCCCTCAGGAAGTCTACACTGTGGCCTGGTACCCACCCTCAGGAAGTCCACACTGTGGCCTGGTACCCACCCCTCAGGAATTCCACACTGTGACCTGGTACCCACCCTCAGGAAGTCCACACTGTGACCTGGTGCCCACCCTCAGGAAGTCCACACTGTGACCTGGTGCCCACCCTCAGGAAGTCCACACTGTGGCCTGGTGCCTACCCTCAGGAAGTGCTGCCATGATGGACTGAATGTTGTTTGATGTACCTGCACTGCCCAAGGTCAGACAACTTCTGAATGAAGTGCAGTAACTGTCAAGTGTTATGGTTTTAAAAGGCCAAAAGAAATGATTTCAGAAAAAAGCTCAATTTCTTCCAACATCCCCGTGTTGATAGGAAATTCAGTCATATTAAATAAGTGCTCACAATGGCTTTTTTAGAAGCTATAAATCAAGCTGGGTGTGGTGGCACACACCTTTGATTCCAGCACTCAGGAGACAGAGGCAGGTGGATCTCTGTGAGTTCGAGGCCAGCCTGGTCTACAGAGTGAGTTCCAGGAAAGGCTCAAAGCTACACAGAGAAACTCTGTCTCGAAAAACCAAAACCAAATAAAATCAACTGTACATCAATACAATGAGTCAATCTGTTGGGATGGGAAAGAGGGCATGTTGGACAAACAGGAAGACTGAGGAGGATTTCCAGGCCAAAGAATTGGGTTTGATCGATTTATCACTTAAGTAGCCGAGTAACTGGGTCGGGAAAACAAATTCAATTGCGTACAACAAAAACTCAGGTTTTAATGTTTGTTGTTCCTTAATTTAAAAAAATGGGCTCAAGGCAGCAGTGTGGTGGCCAGTTTCAACACGTGACTCTCCAGAGGACAGACTGCCCAGTTCTGCGGGACTTGCTGATTTCCATGGCATTAACGCTCCCTCCCACGGCAGGTCTCAGCTACTCATGGGGCATCACTAGGTGAGCACAAGCCATAGCAGCACTCCCTGGGATGTGACGGTGAAATGGACGGACGCAGCTAGAGCTTTGTGCAGCTCTACTACACAAGTACCACCTTGTTACGCAACGTCTTCTACTTATGAGCTAGCTGAAGTAAAATAAAATCCTCTCTCTCTCTTTCTCTCTCTCTCTCTCTCTCTCTCTCTCTCTCTCTCTCTCTCTCTCTCTCTCTCTCTCTCACACACACACACAGATGCACACACACAACTTGAAAATATTTAGAGAAAAAAATAGAGCTATACACAAGAAGAGCAAATGTTTTAAAAGTTGGCTATGAAAAAAGATTATCAATTACACTGTGTCTAATAGTTTAGATTATGCTGCATCGTTTGCAATACTAAATGAACAGAAAGAGATAAATTATTTCAAGGAGTCTTTTAATTAAAAACAGTTTGTTCTTGAAACAACAGGGTCTCTGTGGGGGTCCCTGTGACCACCAGGGCCAGCAGAGTGTAGGGAATCCAGTTCAATATGACTCAGTAGCTAGTGTTGGTTCAAACTTCTAGAGTCTGACCCCAAGTAGTTTATTGTAAGCATATTTAAGCCCAGCATGATTTAGAGAGAAGTTTCTGGTAGAATGCAGTCTCCTGTGCACAAGGAGGCATAATCACATCAAAGCTCAATTTAAAGTACTTGTCACCTCCTCCGAGAAGATGCATTCTGGAGATAGAGTACCTGAATTTGCTTATGGGCCTAGGGGAGGATCTGGCATGGTCTCAGTCATACAGAGAGGCTGTAGAGGTCACTTGAGCTATTAGTCACCTCCGGTCCTGGCTGTGGGAGCTTGAGGGAACCCCTGGTCATACAGATAACGCAGATCAGCAGACTATTAGCCACCTCCATTCCCAGCCCTTTGGCTTGAAAAACGTGTTATAAAGCCTTTTCTTTGAAACGACAGCCCTACGGATATAACATTCCTGGTCCCCCTAGTGCTGTCTCTAGGCCCAAGGACCCTTGCTCCCAATAGATCTCAAACCACATGAAGCTAAAAGTGTCAGAATTGAGAGGAGAAAATAGAGGCTGGAAATCATAGTTGGAGATTTTATTCCCCACTTTCAACAGTGTATGAAACAATGAGACAGGACTAGCAAGGAACAGAAGACTTCAACAATACTAGACATCAGCTAGGCTGACCCAGTGTGGATAAAGTCTCCCTCCACAACAGCAGACTACATGCTTTTCAAGAGCATACAGAAACATTTTCTTTAGGGCAGGCCATGCACTAGACCACAAGACAAATCTAGGTAAGTGTAAGAAGATTGAAATTGGACAAAATATGTTCTGACTATAATGGATAAAACCTACAATGGATTGAAATGAGAAATCAGCAACATAAAGGGAACTGGGAAGTTCGCAATCACAGGGAAGGAAGCAGCACACACGTGTATATCCAGGGGACTAGAGAAGAAGCTGCAGAAAACCAGATGCTTTGAGATGAAAAGAAGGCACACCACAGCAAAATGTACGAGACACAGTGCTCAGAGGGGAGCCCGAGGCTGGGAACCGACATTAAAAAAGAAGAAAGGTATCAAACCAATTGATGTGCAAGTCCATATTGAGAAGCCATCCAGACTTCCAAGGGAAGGAAGCTACCCAGCTATGATGCCTACGAACCAGCACAGCAAGGTAACCCTAGGGTGCAGTAGCGGTCAGTGCCTCTACTTGGACTTAAGTCTCACTCAACAAGAGGGAAATCACACTGGTCCTGGAAACCTGGCCAATTCCCCAGGGCTAGTGAAGTCCCGGATCTTAGAGGAGACCCCACAACCACCTCTCCAATAAACCAGCACAGACCCTAACTACCTTCTAAATATTTATCCCTTTGAAGTCCTTACCCCATCAGGAAACTTCTCTTTGTAACAGATAGAGACCACTGCAGAATTCACAACCCATCAAAAGGCAGAGTGGAAGAGCCCAGTCCAACAGATACATCGATGTGGTGGTATTGTGTTCCCCGAAATATTGTGCACCCTAATAAACTTATCTGGGGTCAGAGACAGAACAGCCTCAATATTAAGCATAGAGGTTAGGCAGTGGTAGCACACGCCTTTAATCCTAGCATTCCAGAGGCAGAAATCCATGGGTTCAAGGATACAGCCAAGCATGGTGACTCACGCCTTTAATCCCAGGGAGTGATGGCAGAAAGCAGAAAGGTATATAAGGCGTGAGGACCAGAAACTAGAAGCATTTGGCTGGTTAAGCTTTCAGACTTTCGAGCAGCAGTTCAGCTGAGACCCATTCTGGATGAGGACTCAGAGGCCTCCAGTCTGAGGAAACAAGACCAGCTGAGGACCCAGCGAGGTGAGGTAGCTGTGGCTTGTTCTGTCTCTCTGATCTTCCAGTGTTCACCCCAATAACTGGCCTCAGGTTTGATTTTATTAATAAGACTCTTTAAGATTCCTGCTACACATCAACAACACAACCCCTGAACCTGAGGCTTGGGATCATAGCAAAAGAAGGGCGGGAAGACCGTGAGAGCCAGAGGAGCAGACTGTGTCCCCTAGGAATGTCAGAAGCTACACCCATCAAAACTCACGAACAGGACCGCTTAAACAAGAGCTGAACAAGGACAACGGCAGACAAGCTAACATGAAAGGGAGAAGGCTCACTGGGCCTCAACCTTAGGCAAAGAACTACAGGTGACTAAGGAACACTGAGAGCAGGAGAAAGAGTCGTCCTCAGGGAAGAGCACACCAGTTGGTTATCCAGTACCAAATGGTCAGCCCTGAAAACATACACATACAGGAAACATTATATGGACTGAGCAGGTTGTATTTATACATAAAGAACATACACACATACACACACTACCACCACCACCACCAA